AATCAAACGTCAGAGACAGCGGTGTTACGGGACGAAACACTGATGGACAACTGGTGTGTGTGTGTGTGTGTGTGTATTTGGCACCAATTCACTCATTATTCATTCAGTTCCTGTCTAACTACTGTCCAACAGTCAGGAGACTGATGACCTCGGAGAATTAGAATCAGTACTTTTTAAAGTTTGATGATGTCACAGAATATTCTCCTACTGACTGACACGTGTCCTGTGTCCTGTGTCCTGTGTCCAGCGTCCAGCCGAGGGACAGCGTGTGGACAGAGCTCAGGTTTTCTCTCCTTTTAAATTCTTTCAGTCAGTGTCGGCCGCTTCATTTCTTTTCAGAGTGGCTGGAGTCAGTCCCAGAAGTCACCAGGAGGGGGTGGGATTGACACTGGACACTGGAGACAAACCGTTCACACTCAAACACTTATGGTTGATTTGGCCTGGACCTTTAACCAACCGTTAACACACACACACACAAGGGACGAACATACCGATTCAGTCTGGTACCGATTCAGTCTGGTACTGAGTCAGTCTGGTACTGAGTCAGTCTGGTACCGATTGAGTCTGGTACCGATTGAGTCTGGTACCAATTCAGTCTGGTACCGATTAAGTCTGGTACTGAGTCAGTCTGGTACTGAGTCAGTCTGGTACTGACTCAGTCTGGTACCGATTGAGTCTGGTACTGAGTCAGTCTGGTACCGATTGAGTCTGGTACTGAGTCAGTCTGGTACCGATTGAGTCTGGTACTGAGTCAGTCTGGTACTGAGTCAATCTGGTCCCGATTCAGTCTGGTACCGATTCAGCTCGGCTCAGTTCAAACTTCTGTGTCGTTAAGTGGAATCAAACATTTCCATCTAAGCAGCAACGATTTCTCCGCTCGTCTCTTTTTTTTTTCAGTTGTGTGGGAGCAGAAAACATGTCTGTTGTCGATTTACCTTGTTATTCTCCAGTAATGACAACTCACACAGACGACCAGACTTTTTTATTTATTTATTTGTTTGTTGGAGCTATTATCAAAAACTAAAGTGTGTTGAAAGTGAAACAATAAAAGAAAAAACACCAACGATTGTTTAGTTTATTAAAAAATATATGTGACTTTAGTCTGAGGTGAAACAAAGAAGCAGAGAAACCGCTGAGCAAAGTTCATTTTCACATTTTCACATTTTCACACGTACCTCTGGTTTTTTTCTATTATCACCTGTAAAGTTGTGTTTTCATCACCTCCACTAAAGAGACGCTAATGATCTCCTCATTTATGACCTTCTGCTTATGCAGCAGAGACATACAGATGGTCGAGACAGAAGTGAGAATCTGAAACTAATGAATTAATGAATTCACCTTGACAGCAGAAAACAATTAAAGACTCAACCCTTTCCTGTCAACACTGGGACAAACCGTGGTTTGTTTGTTTGTTTGTTTCCTAAAAATGGAAGTCTACTTTCTTCATATAAACTCTGAAATATTAGTTTGGGTTTTTTTTATTTCTCCAACATTAATGCCCAGTCTACAGGTTCTGGTTTTTTTTTTTTTTTGGAAGTCTACCAAACCTTTTTTTGAGAATAGATATTTTCCTCTCTGCTGCAGCACTTGATCCATGGACTGTTGACAAATATCACCCCCAGGCAGTTGTTCATGCACAAAATCCTCATTACAAAATAGCTGCAGGGCAAAGGAGGAGTAAAAGTTTCCAGGTTCACCTTGTAAAATATGGCACACGTTTCTCCGTCCCCGGCCGACGGAATCAACACGTGTCCCTGCTCCTCAGCGGAACGCCGACGTCGCAAAGTCAAGTCGGCGATTTATGATCTTATTAAATTAACATATCAATAAGCCCTATAGGAAATAGCTCGTTAATTAGCCATGCTTTAATTGGCTCAGAATGTTATTAGCGCGGCGTGTGTGTGCGCTAACCTAGCTGCTCGTTAATAACAATGCTGTGCCATCCAGATGTAGATGGTTAAAATAGATGGGTTTAAATG